TAATTAAATAAAACCAAGTATCATAAAGAAACAAAATATGGCCTTGCTTTTTCACAAAAGACAAGTAATTAGATGTGCATTGTTTATAACAAATTGTATATGACATTCTTCATTATTTCAAGCAGAAGTGCAAATCTAAAATATTAATAAAAAAGAAAAACCGCATTAGTTGTAAAATGCCATTGCACCCATTACCCGAACCTAGATATGGAAAATTCAGCAATTATCAGTTAAAGGAACCACAGCACCATTTGACAAATTACATGAGCCCTGCCAAGGTTGGACCGATGTGGAACTTATGTTTTTTAGTTGTGGTTATGGTTTCTTGTATTGTCCATTTTATACCTTGAATGGGATCTCACGTATTTTCATTAATATTTTACTTTGTTACAAATGCCAGTTACCCATAATTAAGCGTAATAATGCTGACTCAGTTTATGCGTGTTTGGTTTGTTCTGGTTGTCAGTAAATATTATGTTTGGAAATGTCATCATCTGCTTTTTTATTCTATTACGTTTTGTAAAATTTTATTGCATTACAATTTTGATATGCTGTGACTTTTACACGGCAAACATATAGTTAAATTATTGTTGCTGAATAGAGACAGAGCAAACATATCTGATTACAAAAAATACAAGACATAATTTAAAAATAAGAACATTTACGTTTCTCAAAAGTAAATCCCATTGTTGCACAAAAAAGCCTGATGGCCTGATGATGAAATTTCTTGCAGTTTATATATATATATAAATATATTTGTGTTCGGGGCCATTTCAGTATAGTATGAAATAGCTAGTGAGTATACTTATCACAATAATAAAAAGTCGGTAGAGGTGTGCCGAAACCGACGTGTGTGGTAGGCCTGTAAATATGTGGACCTACCTTGAATAGTATTGAATAGAGGGAGAGGAGGATGGGCCAGAAGTACGTCTGGACCAGTAGGTAAGTTAGGTAGGAGGGGGAGTCCCTTTTAAAGGGATATAACCCCTCCCACAACTTCAGGCCCCACCTTCCAATTTGTGTTCGGGGCCATGAAATAGCTAGTGAGTATACTTATCACAATAATAAAAAGTCGGTAGAGGTGTGCCAAAACCGACGTGTGTGGTAGGCCTGTAAATAAGTGGGCAAAAAAGGAATACCCATATAGTGTTATCGAAGATATTATTACGAAAACACAAGACATGGAGTTAGCATCTTTCGATGACATTCCACCAATGCATTCCTTAATTCCTGTGTCAGTTGAGGTATGTGTTGTTGGTGAGGTGGTACTGAATGAGTACCTCATGACCCATCTGGCTGGTCTTAGTTGATGGTAAGCTTAATACGCAGTGATCCTGTATTTTGTACAGGTTAGAATACCGTAGGCAATGCTTATAATCGTGTTGCCCTGTGATGGTAAATTCTCTAGGTCAAAAAACAAGTATATGGCAGTTTGGAGAATGGTGTTTGTAACTGAAAGCCTGTGGTGTTGAATGCCCGGGAGATATCACTTAATAGTTTTGTGTGACATTTTTATTTTAATGTGGCCAAAAGTGGCGAAAGCCCCCAAATTTGTATTCTTGAACTAGTTTGTAAGGTGGTGGTCTGACATGAACTTCGATATATGCAGCAAGTTCTGTCATATCAGTGTGCGTTTCTTTGAGGGCCAATGTGTGAATTCCTGCTGTGACTTAGCAACTCTTCTATTCCATAGGTAATTCTAGGAGCTGGGGAGCGATCGTGGCTATCGGTGAGGCAGTTGTTAGGGACCTCCTGAACGCCTGAAACTGAAGGTTAGATAACTGGTCAGCAGCCGTATTGTAAATGCCTGGTACGTGGTAACATACCAGATAAAAATTGGTGACTGGTTTCCCCTACGTTAGTCATCTGACGAATTCATTATAAGGGATAAAGACCGGACTTGCCATGGTTGGCAGAGTAGTGAAATAGCTAGGGAAGCACATTATAAATATCATGTATATGTACTGGTCTAATACGCAGCGGTGCTGTGGAAATAGTCCAGTATGGAATTGGCTATGTAAGCACAATGGCGGCTGACTAGTACGGTCGACCCAGGGAAACTTAAATGACCCACATGATAAATTCAGTACGTGTCATAATGTATGTGGCATGTCGCACGTGTCGTAAATTGACAATATGCTAGACTAAAGTAGTACAATAAGAGAGGTAAGGAGAACGTCTGTTATGAGGGAATTTTTACATTCTGTGCGTTTGGCCAGGAGTAGGTCGTGTAGGTAGGGTCGTGAGGAGAGCTACTGTGTGGCCGAATGTGGACAGTGCAAGATATAGCAGATGTATAATAAGACGTGGTTGATTACAGGTAGAAAGCTGTGAGATAGCTGAACTTTACGCATGCATTCCGATCCTGATGATATGTGAACTTAGTGCCCAAATGAGGGGTTGCAAATAAAACGTAGTTGTTCACTAAGGTTACCTGAATTATGTTGCAAGGCCCACAGAAGGCTTTGTGTGAGGACTATGCATAAGAGGTTGAGAGCGGCCCAATGTAGTTCCTGTGGTACTGGGAGGTAACGTAAGTCTAAATGGAATTTAATGGGGTGGGGTTGGTGGTTTATTTTAAGTTGCAGATCAGTTGAAAGTTACTGGTTATGACAGCTTAACCATAATTGAAACATGGTCATACTGATATCATACAGCAACTTTCAGAGTAACATTTACCGGCTTGGAAATGGAGAGGGCCCGGAATATCAGTTGCGAGTGGTTACTGTTGTCACGACTGAACAGCTACGGGCTTCCAGTCTCTCTAGTCTATCAGTCATCTGCCTCATGGATGTTACTATAGAGGTGATCCTGGTATACAGGTTGGCATTGCTTGTGCTTTCCCCTGTGTCTGATTTGTTAGTATTGGCTTGCATAAGCCTGAATAGTTCTGCTTTGCAGGCAGTAAGTGTAAAGGGTATGTTGCCCTGCGTAATTCAGCCGTGATTCGTGGGATGGTCCACGATCTAATTGAAGATAGACTGCCGGAATCTCCTTTTGTGTAGGGGTGGCAGTCCTAGTTGGAGTACTTGGAATAGAAATGTCATCTCCTTCTTCTGGAACTTGGGACATACTGCAATATATATATTCCTCTTGAGGATGTATACAGTTGTTTTAACTAGTGCCGAAGTGGTGAAACAATTTGTTAGACTGGTGATAGGTGAGTCCCTACTAGTTGCCAAGTGGCGGGGTTGGCTCTAGGGGGTGATCTGGATGTGGGCTTACAAAGGATGAGTCTTTGATCTGTGAAGGGGGTGTGACGAGTGATTCCCTTGCTATGCAACATGCGAGGTGTCTAGCTATGATTTGACCCGTTGGCGTTATCACCTCTCTCGTGGAGGATGGGTGTTGGCCTCGCAGGACCTCTATCTCTAAGGCATAAGGTGCCTGGGAGAAATACCTAGGTGGCCATACCCACTCGACTCTATGGGATGAATCTTTATACTAAATGAGTGTTTAAGGAACGGGGAGCAAAGTACCTGTATGAACAATGTATGTTCGGTGTTCTGCAGTAATCTGAGATTCTGGTAAGGGGGCGCGGCCTAACCCAGATGATAAACGACAAAATGGAAGGCATTGGGTACATATGAGTTCGTACTGACATGCCGCTGCTGAAAATCCCCCACAATCATATTAGTTGTGTACACTATGGACACCTACCAGTACCTTGATGATGTAAGAATTGTTCTGGTACGTCACCTATACTGTAGGATCTAATGAGCCAAGTCTGTCTAAGCTTGGCGTGTGGAGACTGTAACATGTCAGAATAAGTTATGGTAGTATGGTAAATGTCTGCTCGGTACCGTTTGTACCCAGCGTACCGTTATCTGTTTGTGCACTGAGTGCCTTATGTATCTGAGTAACGAAACGTATGATTTGTAACGTATTGTGCCTGTACCAATGGAAGGAAACACAATACACAATACGCTTGACTTTGGTCTTTTAGGTCTCTGAATCCTGTAAGCAGATCCAGAGATCAAGTGACAAATACCGAGTTTAACATATACTGTTGCATGTCCCCCATGTAAGACGTGAGAACTAGTGCTTGATACCCAATGCACATACAAATTATAAGCAAAATATATAGGCTACAATTGATATTTAAATATGCAGGGGTATGATGTGCTTGTAGGCTAAGTGCAGCATGGCCACCAGGTGGCGTAGTGCTATGCACCATCCTGAACTATATGTATATATATATATATATATATATATATATATATATACATACATATAAAACAAGGGGGGTTGGCTGCACTCACCTGAACATGCATAAATGGGGGTGCTGCTGGGGGCCAAATAATACAAAACACAAGATCCAGCGCACTCACCTATCCACTAAACAGCAACTTCAAAGTTGAAAGATTTTATTAGTTTTTTTTTTGTTTTTTTTTATACACCTAATCTAGGCAAAAATAATGGGGGTTTAGTTACATTATATGATCATACATTGCATAAGCCTGCCACAACGTCAATGTACCCCATCTTTGGCAGGTCCTACACTAACAGCCTAATGTCTGCTCTTATGAGATTAACCACTTACTTGAGGAAAAAAAATTCCATCTGGGGCTCTCTGCAGTACAAGGCCAAATAGGGTCCTGGGATGAGGCACCTGTGACAGGGAGGGGTGCAAAACCAAGGAGTTGGCTAGACTCCCAAATATATATAAAACAAGAGGGGGTTGGCTGCACTCACCTGAACATGCATAAATGGGGGTGCTGCTGGGGGCCAAATAATACAAAACACAAGATCCAGCGCACTCACCTATCCACTAAACAGCAACTTCAAAGTTGAAAGATTTTATTAGTTTTTTTTAAAAACACCTAATCTAGGCAAAAATAATGGGGGTTTAGTTACATTATATGATCATACATTGCATAAGCCTGCCACAACGTCAATGTACCCCATCTTTGGCAGGTCCTACACCAACAGCCTAATGTCTGCTCTTATGAGATTAACCACTTACTTGAGGAAAAAAATTCCATCTGGGGCTCTCTGCAGTACAAGGCTAAATAGGGCCCTGGGATGAGGCACCTGTGACAGGGAGGGGCGCAAAACCAAGGAGTTGGCTAGACTCCCAAATATATACATATGAAACAAGGGGGGGTTGGCTCCACTCACCTGAACATGCATAAATGGGGGTGCTGCTGGGGGCCAAATAATACAAAACACAAGATCCAGCGCACTCACCTATCCACTAAACAGCAACTTCAAAGTTGAAAGATTTGGTTTTGCACCCCTCCCTGTCACAGGTGCCTCATCCCAGGGCCCTATTTAGCCTTGTACTGCAGAGAGCCCCAGATGGAATTTTTTCCTCAAGTAAGTGGTTAATCTCATAAGAGCAGACATTAGGCTGTAAGTGTAGGACCTGCCAAAGATGGGGTACATTGACGTTGTGGCAGGCTTATGCAATGTATGATCATATAATGTAACTAAACCCCCATTATTTTTGCCTAGATTAGGTGTTTTAAAAAAAACTAATAAAATCTTTCAACTTTGAAGTTGCTGTTTAGTGGATAGGTGAGTGCGCTGGATCTTGTGTTTTATATATATATATATATATATATATATATATGGGACATACCTGTATATGAAACAAGCCACCCTATATGAAACAAGCCACATATTTATTATTCTTTTTATAAACCAGCCACATATTTTTAATTCAACTTTGAATGCTTGTGCGTGATGTGTGTTTGACTGACGTTTGAGTGTGCAGCCTGCTTTGCGGTTGCAGTGCTGTACTTGATCGTGCTTCCCGGCCGACAGCAGACCTGCGCACGTGGAGGGAGCTGCCGACCCTGAGAGAGAGTATACTTTGGACGGGTGAGTAACCCCTTCGTGCCCCGGGGTAAGAGCCTGTTGGGCCGTTTGTGCCATGCCTCCATGTCCCCAATTGATGGGGGGGAGGATGATCGTTGGCAAGGCCGGTGTTTGAACCTCCGTGCCCCTATGAGAAAGGGAAGGTGGCCGGGGTGGTTTGGAAGGACATCCGTGTCCCTACTGTTAGGGAAGGGAGTTGGGAGCCGGTGATGCCGGCGTGACGGTCTTCTGGTTCCTAATATTAGGGGAGGGGGTTTGGGAGCTGGAAATGCCGGCGTGAATGCCCTCTGTGTCCTTTACTGTAAGGGGGGGGGGGACTTGGCGAATCTCTGTTTAAACCCCCGTGCACCTCTTGCTGGGGGGTGGGGGGGTTGGGAGCCGGCCCATATGGGAACTCCATGTAGGTTAGTTAGGGGTTGGGAGCCGGTGAGGCTGAATATGTAACCCACTGATTCCCCTGTGATTGTGAGCGGGGAGAGGGGGAGTGATGTCCAGTAAACATAGAGGCCTCGGTGGGTCATAAGCAACACATGCTTCCTACGTGAGACACAGACAGTGTACTGGTGTACCCGTCTGTACTCACTGTTTAGCGCAGGATACTCTGTTCGTCTGGTGGTTGCTGGCCTACGGCCTGCGTACAGACCGAAAAAAGTTCTGTTTAAATAAGGTAATGCTGCACCACACGCTGTTCGGCAGTATGATTACCAGCAGCTCTGTCTGAGTCTGGATACCAAAAGTACGTCTGGACCAGTAGGTAGGAGGGGAAGTCCCTTTTAAAGGGACATAGCCCCTCCCATAACTTCAGGCCCGCCTTCCAATATATATATATATATATATATATTATAAAAAATATAGCTGGTCAGCTCAGCGGTCAGCTAACACTCTCAGCCAATGAATGTCGACCACCATGGCTTCTGCAGCTCTGCAAAAGCCAGAAGCATGTCACTGGAACCAGGGAGTTTCAGAGCCTGGCAGGGGATGGTTCAGGGTCTAGCTCACTGGCTGAGAAATATAATTTGATGCACTCAGCCAGTGAGCTGGACCTGCACCACATGACTTAGCTCAAGGGAACTCACAGAAGCTCTGTGCAGCAACCAACAGAGGTACCATTTCCCCTCCCCTCCCCAAAATAAGACTGGGTCTTATATTAATTTTTGCTCCAAAAAACGCGCTAGGGTTTATTTTCGGATGTTGTCTTTATTGGCGAAAAACGGTAGCAAGCATGTGCAAGAAAGCAGGTCTATATTCCAGGGAATTCCCCCGAACATAGACCAGTTCACCAGGGCATGGAATCCCGCTAATCTGTGTTTGGGAAACTTCCCCAAACATAGATTAGTGAACTAGCGACTATCTCAACTAGGGTTTATTTTCTGGGGGGAAACAGTTTGATTATTTAAATTGATAGTTTGACTATTTAAATATGGTGCAAGGCAGTCCTGGCACCATAAGCACTACAGCAATCCCTTTGTTTGGCTCTCTGGTTATGACAGCTTAACCATAATTGAAACATGGTCATACTGATATCATACAGCAACCATTTGTGCAGCCATACTGACAAGTTATGCACAGACAGGAAGCGAAGATGTGCAGCAAAAAAATGCCTTTTTGATGAGTCTGCATATCTTTAAATCAATTTGGCAAAGAATGCAGTGTAATAGGTCACATGATCATTTCCTAGCAATAAGAATATGTGTTCTTTATTTCTAGAACAAATATTTAAAAATTTGCAAATATGTGACTGTAAACATGCAACATTAAAACTGCAGTTAGACTGTATGGTATATAAGTATCATCAACAACGGAATTCAAAAACTTTTTTAAGTAATTGATACTTGGAAACAATGAACAAAAAGTATGAGGTGGTGAGAAACCTGCATACACGTGCTTCAAGTGCAAAACAGCCCTGCAAAAACAAGAAGTGTCCTCTGTTCTAATCCTTCACTATCCACGAATGCCCTCATCTTGTGAGCTAGGTATCCCTGAATCTAGATATTAAGAAGTGTTTAGTTAAACAGCTCTGTTTAGTAGATATACCGCTTGACAGGTGGATGCATCAGGGAGGTTACACACCTGCTTTCTAGTAATATGGGGTCATACTGACATATTTTTACACTGTTTAATGTCATGGCCGTCCAGAGCTTGCCACCACACGATTAACCCTCACGCCGCCAAGAGTTATTTCATTATTTGCCTGCTGGCTGCTAGCATTGTCAGCGGGAAAATACAATGTCAAATTATCGTTCCTTTGCAAAAAGCAAGTGAATGATAATTTGTGAACATGCATCCTGCTGCATACACTTAGTTTCAAACTGTTTTTTTTAAATGGTGCTTTGTGAATAATCCAAATCTTATACTTTGTATAGGGATCAGATGCAAAAAGCACTGATTTAAATCCAAATGCATCCAGACGATTCGAATTCAGATCGGATTAAGCTTCAGTAAATATGACAGTTGCCATTCCGGTAGGAATTTGGCCATTTTCAAGTTTTTTTTCCCCCCCATTTGGACAAAATCTAGGGTTTAGTAAGTAACCCATTGAATATCACAATTTTAATTGAAGTACAAATTGAATTACAAGTTTTAATTATATATTGTATTTTTTCAGAATCTCAGTGGACTCCAATTCACATTACGCTCAGTTAACAAAAGGCGTCGGATTGTGTTTTTCAAACAAACTTAGGTGACCCTAAAGATTACTGAAGGTCCTTCAAGAGGACTTTGATGGAAAGAGTTGCATGATAGAGGCGCAATTCTAATGTATACTGCTGCCTCAAGGTTGCATACAATTGCAATAGGTAAGCCATGTCAGTGATGAATTAGTTACAGCATAACACTCAACTATCAATATTTTAGATTTTTTATTTTTGGAATTTGCTTTGCAATGTGTATGTAATATTTTAGGCATATGTTATTTGATGACTTCAGAGTAACTCTGTTCATGACAAAATATTGCCACCCTTGATTGTGCTTAGACGTATGATAAATACACATGATACTAATTTCTCGTTTTGTTATTGACAGGTGGTCTCATACTTGTCTTTAGTTTTACTTTTGTCTTAAACTAATGGAAGATGACCAGTAGATGCTTTGGTACTTGGAGTTACCGTCATGGAAGTCTTAAATAAAAACTAAATGCACCCAAACTACTTTAGCTCATTGAATTGGTCTGGGTGCAGTGTCCCTGACAGTTTAATTGTAATTATTGCAGTTATTGATACTGCAATACACATTGCAGGTTTAACTACATCTCTAATGGCTGTCTACCAGACAGCCAATAGAGGCGCTTCCGTGTCAGCCTAACCTATGCTGGACATCGTTGCGCTCTTTATGAGAATATCCAGCGTCAGCTAAAATTCAATAGGAAAACATTGATTTAATGCTTTTCTAGGAGGTAGTCCTAATGAAAGCAGTGCTCGCGGTGCATGTGCATTAGCTCCCCCACGTCGGCTGACGTCAGAGGAGGAAGAACAAAGGCAGAGCCTGACCCAGCAACGAGGGACATCGTTGTGTCAAGTGACAAAAGAGTTTCTAAAGTGAAGAGAGGATGGTGTGCTAGCATGGGGGGCAGTATAGTGTACTATACAAAGTTTCCCTTTAAGGCAAAGGGGGCATTGACGACAAAGAAATAGTTAACGTGGTTTTGCTTTAAAAAAACTCAAAGTATACATGAAAAGTTGCTCTGTTAAGTCTCTGTTTTGTAATTCTACCCATTTATTGCTGTCATTTTGTTTAGCATTTGCACTTTTTAAAAGGTATTGTAAAGTTAGTCATTAATGTCCTGTAATTTGTATGTGTATGGATATTCACTTTGGAAAATGTTCTTCTGACAAGCTATGCTATGTTCTTTCCACATGAAAAAGAGTGGAATTATAATAGTGGATAATGCAATACAAAACCAAAACATGTCAAGAGCAATTTGTTATATTAGGTTTTAGTTTCCCTGTAGCTGCATCCTCTTAAAACTGTTTCAAAAAGGCTATATATGACATGTGTGACTGGATCCCTTGATTCTGTAATTTGAAGTGTTCATGGTTCATGGAGTCTCTATTTGTAGTGTTTATCTGTAAAATGCTGAATATACCGTGTTTAATATCTTTGCTGCCAGTGATATAATTCCATCTGAGGCAGCGTCAGTGGGGTGTCATCAGCCAGCCTTGAACAATGGCTCATGTGAATTCTGTGTGAATTTTGATGCACAGAATATGATTCATTGGCTAAGAGCAGATAGCTGATGCCCTGCTTCAGAGGAGACCAGTGCCCGGCAGGACCAGGTAAGGGGCAAACCATAGTAAAATGGAGAAAGGTGCTAGGCTACTCCTCACATCATAACTACTACTGAGTTTTTCCAAAAATGTTTTTATATATATTCCATAAAAAAAAAAAAAATTCTATTTATTTTTTAAAATTATAAGAAAAAATTGTATTGTGGTGACAATGGTCTTTTTTGCACTAAGAGTGTTTCAG